AAAAAATTATGAAACCTGAGGCACTAAGACTTCACATCAAAAATGTGTAGCTGCAGATTAAGGGGCTTTGAAAGTTTGAAGGAGGCATGCGATTATAGATGGAATGCTCTAAAAAAAGAAGACATTTCATATGAAAATTGGATGAAAATACGACCAAAACAGAGTAAACTCGCCGAATAAACCTTGCTGACTTTACTCCAGCTAGTTTTATTCTTTGAAGCTCCTTCCCTTTCAATCATTATTCTCTGCTTTCTACTCTTTACAGCGTTTATCAAGCGAAAACATCCCATCTATAGAAATTTCTCTATTTCTTATAGGTGACACAACACCACTAAAACATTTGATGACAGTTAAGAAAATCAAAGGAGTACTGCATATATTCGACAATGCAAACTTGGAAAAACTGGATTTCTTCTCTGGAATGGAAGAGATTGACGCTGAAAGCATAGAAGAGCGTGAGTTTTCAACTTTGAAAAATTATTCCTATTGTTTTATGACCATAAGAATAACTCAGAAGTTGCATCTGGTCGTCATTCTCAACCTATATTTAACCCAAACGATGAATTTCACCTAGTCGCAATTAGCACAATCTCAGCAGGCTAAAGCGAAGGACCACTATCATACATCTAACAGTGCATTAGGCATATGATCTGAACCCAAATCCCAATTACTAAACCGTGTGTCCACATTTTTTCCCCAAAAAATCATTTTTTTATAATATTGCTCGTGATCTTTGCGATATTTTCGGGGAGAAAGAACAGCTATTTAATTCGAGTGATAGCTAATTATAGCCGAGCCTTGGCTTGTTGACGAACTCTCCCATCTCAGCTATTAATTCTTCTGTGTTTCAGAAATCAACTTTAAAATAATTTACCGATCATCAATGATGGGCATCGTCTAGCTGAGCTCATTTTATGTGCTTATTGTTTGGTAAACATAGTTACCAGCAAAGTCTAAGCTTTTTTAGAGCCTATTCTTTCCTGAATTAGGCCAGATATCTATAATGAAAAACTTCACAACAAATTTTTGCGGACAGACCCTTCACAAAATTTCCTTTTGATGATATTAAGGTTATAAGCATAGCATTCTAAGTAAGTTGTTTCCTAACATAATTGGTCTAAGATATATATGAAACTTTTGTTGAATGGCAATTGGAAGAATCCACTTTATGCCAACCTTGCAGAATCTCAGATGTTTAAAAACAAATTTAAAGGACCAGCGCTGACGATAATCAACAATACCATGTTGGAGGAGATACAATTCATATCCTTGACAACAATCAAATCCTCTCAACAGATCAATACTGTCATCAAAGACAATCCAAAACTTAGCGGTGTTGATCTGGAAGAATGGTATGAGGTGAGTTCTTATTGTAGAAGCTTTGAACAATTCAAAATAATCGTTGTTAGAGATATAAAACAAACACAACATTCAAGAATGTTTTCATTGGGAGTACAATTTTCAATAGAAAGATCTTGTGAAACTGGAAGCTTGTATTTGTATGATCATTAAAACGATCATATATGTGAATAATGATATGCGATGGCATTAAGACCAGCACTACTTAAATAGCGCAATTATAATTATTCAGATAGCTGGTGGGAAGAATCGCACATCCATAGTTTTGACAGATATTGAGGAGGGCGGAAGCAATGGTGAGATATCCAAATTACAGATAGGATAAGAAAAGATATGCAAGTTGATTAAAACCCTTCAATTGATAGAAAAAA